CAATGTCTGGTCTTGTGCATATCATAGCGAACATTAAACTTCCCACTGCTGATGCATACGGTACCCGAGACATCTCCATCATCTCTTCTTCACTGCTAGGACTCGTACTGAAGGATAATTTGAAGTTAATAGGAAGAGGGGTAGAAATTGGCTTACAATCTTGCATGCTAAATCGTGACAAGATTTTCTTCAAGTAATTCTTTTGTGAAAGCCAAATCTTCCTATTACTTCTGTCTCGGTGAATTTGCATCCCTAGAATCTTGTTTGTTGATCCCAAGTCCTTCATTTCAAATTCCATAGCCAGTTGTGCCTTCAATTCTTCAATATGATCTTTGTTGGGTCCTGCAACAAACATGTCATCCACATACAACAATAATATAACAAAATCGTTATCACCAGACCTCTTGAAATAAGCACAAGGGTATGCATTAAGTCTGTTGTATCCAAGGCACATAATGAAGGAATCAAATCTCTTATACCAATACCTCGGCGCCTGCTTTAGACCGTACAGAGATTTGTTCAACCTGCAAACCAAGTTCTTCTTTTCGTCTTCTTCAAAACCTTCAGGCTGGAGCATATAAATCTCTTCTTCAAGATTTCCATGAAGAAAAGCTGTTTTAACTTCTAGCTGTTCTAAATGTAAATTCAATGTAGCACACATTGCCAAGACTACTCGAACTGTTGTTAGTCGAACCACAGGAGAAAAAATTTCATTGAAATCAATACCTTCTTTCTGAGCATATCCTTTGACCACCAGTCTTGCACGATACCTCTCCACTTGATCGTCACCATTTCGCTTGATTTTGAAAACCCATTTGTTACCAATTGGCTTCCTTCATTGTGGTAGTGGCATAAGGTCCCATGTATTATTTTTATGAAGGGTTTCGATTTCTTCTTGCATCGCCATCATCCACAGTGAAGCATCTGAGTTGTTTATTGCCTCCTGGTATGTTGATGGCTCACCGTCCTCTGTTAAAAGGCAGTATGCAATATTACCTTCTATAACATAATCCGAGTGCCAATTGGGACGTCTTCTCACACGATCTGATTGACGAGTTGTTGGAGCTTCAGAACTCTCTGGTACTTGTTCATCATGTGCTGGTTCTGCTTCAGAAGAATCTCCTTCTTCAAACTCTTTTCCACATGTATCTGAGTAGTCTCTGACTTTTCAGCGCTATCAGCGTCTTCTTTTCTTTGTAATTTATCTTCTACAAAGATAACATCCCTGCTAATGGTCACTTTGCGGGCAGTGGGATCCCACAAGCGATACCCCTTTACTCCATCAGCATACCCCAAGAATTTGCATTTCCTGGATTTTGGATCCAACTTTGAAATTTCTTGGGCGTTGTACATCACGTACACAATACTTCCAAATACATGGAGGTTTGAATAATCAACTGGTTTACCAGTCCACATCTTCATTGGTGTCTTCAGCTCTATTGCAGTTGATGGAGCTCGATTCACCAAATAACAGGCGGTATTGACTGCTTCTACCCAGAATGATTTTTCTAGGCCTGCGTCTCTCAACATTGCTCTTGTTCTTTCTAACAAGGTTTTGTTCATCCGCTCTGCCACTCTATTTTGTTGAGGAGTGTTCGCCACTGTGAACTGTCTTTTGATGCCTTCTTTCTTGCAAAAGTCATCAAATTCTTCGCTTGTGTATTCTCCTCCATTATCTGTTCTGAAACACTTGATCTTATTTCCAGAATCAAGTTCCACCCGCGCTTTGAAGTTTTTGAAAGTTGAAAACACGTCTGACTTCTTCTTAATATGGTGCACCCAACATCTCCTGGAGTAGTCATCAATAAATGAGACAAAGTATTTTGCTCCGCCTAGGGATATAACTGGTGCTTGCCATACGTCAGAGTGAACCAATTCTAGAACACTTTTGCCTCTAGAATTTGACTTGTTGAATTTCAACCGGTGCTGCTTACTTGTTATACAATGCTCACACAAAAGAAGTGATACCTTTGTTAAGCCGGGAAGTAATTTTTGCTCCACAAGGACTTTCATTCCTTGTTCTAACATGTGTCCAAGTTTCTGATGCCATAGCATTGTAGAATCTGAACTACATGAGGCAACAGAGGCTTCTGATTCTAGCAAAGTCTCTCCCTTCAACATGTACAAGTTTGTTGCTATCTTTTCGCCTTTCAGCACCACAAGCGCTCCACGGAACACCTTCATGATTCCTTTCCGTGTTTCAATCTTGCTTGATTATTATCCAACAATCCGTAGGATGATAAATTTTTCTTTAGGCCTTTCACGTGTCGCACATCTCGAACAACTTTAATTGTTCCATCATACATCTTCAATTTGATGGTTCCCACTCCAACGATCTCTAAGGCATAATCATTGCAACTATACACAGATCCTCCTGAGACAGGTTCATAATGATGGAATCATTCTCTTCTTGAGGTCATGTGATATGTCGCTCTCGAATCAATGAGCCATATATCTGCAAATCTTTTTCTGCCTTCCACGGTGGTTGACGCTTCACAGCATAGAGCATCTCCATCATCTGAAGTGTTTGCGGTATTGCCTTGTGTATTGGAGTTTTTATTTAGACTCCAACAATCCTTCTTCAAGTGGCCCTTCTTTCCACAGTTGTAGCACTTTAAATTCTTCTTGCTCCTCGACTTCGATCTACCATGTTTGTGACTGCTGCTTTGGCCACGTTCTGTTGATCTCCCTCTCATCGTTATCAATGCCTCTGCTTGTTGCAGATTTACTTGTCTGTCTTCCTTGTTCTTGTGCCGATTTTCTTCTTGGAGAACAGCAGCTGCAACGTCATCGAAGACTAGACTGGTGACATTACTGTTTGTCAAGTTGATGATGAGTTGATCATACGAATCAGGTAGACTTTGAAGTAGAAGTTCAGCACGTTATTGTTCTCCTATTTTACAAATTAAGGATGTAAGCTGAGAAAATAAGGTGTTCAGTGTATTTAAGTGCTCCGTCACTGAAGTAGATTCTGGCATACGGAGAGTGTACAATTTCCTCTTAAGGAAAATTTTATTGTGCAGCGATGTGGCCTCGTACAATTTGGTGAGATGATCCCATATCTCCTTAGCTGTCTTCTTCTCCTCGATGCTTGACAATACTTCATCTGCTAATGCTAGATGAAAGTTTGCCATAGCATTCTCGTCCATCTCGTTCCATTTGATGTCATCTGCGAAATCCACCGGCCTTTCATTGATAGCCGCTAGACACCCGTCTTTCTTTAGGATGGCCTTCATCTTCAATTTCCACAATGAGAAATTTCTCCCATTGAATTTTTCAATATCAAATTTCGTTGCCATAGCTTCTTCTACGGATAGCTCCCACTATTTCACTATCGTGAATAGTTCTCTGGAACCTTCAAAGAATGGGTAATAACTTCTTATTTTCTTATGTTGGAGGATCCACCTTTTAGTGGCAACCACAAAGATAATAAGCAGATATTACACACTCTAATCTAGTTCGGATACCAATTGTTGCGGAAGACGACTATCGGATAGAGCAAAATCGCAACTGATAATTTGAGAAAATAAAAATGAAGATAAAAAGAGACACAAAATTTACGTGAAAAACCCCTAAATAAAATAGGGTAAAAACAACGGGCAACGGTAAGATAATTTCCCTATGAGAAAATAGGAATTACAACCTCTCTCGATCTACCAAGGAGAAAATAATGATAATTCTCTCTCGATAAAAGGAGAAAATAACTCTCAAGAAACTCTCTAAATTCTCTCTAGTATTGGAAGAAAGCTAGAATGCTTTGGGATGGTTTTGAAGCTAAATGAGTTAGGGTATTTATAGTTGAAGCTTTAAGGACTAATTTGTAAATACCCTAAATTTTAGTGACTAGAGTTTTTAATTTGCCCATATAAAAAATCAATAATTTCTACACCTAATTTTCGGTGCCTACAATTGTTGACAAAATTCAATATTTTTTTTTCTTCAAACCATGCACTTTCGGTGCATTGATTTTCAACAGTTTTAAATTTAAAACCTCTAAAGATTAATATTTTCTTTAATCACTGAGACTATTTAATAAGTTCTCGATTTAGTTAATTAAATACTCATTAACACTTTAAAGGATAATAAAATTAAGATCGTAGTAACAATCTCATTTAATAGATACTTTGTAAGTATGATTTTTAATCCTTTATAAACTGGAATCGAACTTATTGAATCAGATGGATAATATTAAATCCACTTGGAAGGTGCAACTATAGTTGAGTTGTTGCTGTCAAGTTTTAAAGACAATATATGATTTGTCCGTAGCATGTTATTGGAAAGGTCAATTTGAGTTAGTTTCAACACGTAATGTAATCTCAAATATGCAATTATGGTTTCATAATGTCTGATCTTATTACTTTTACCTAATAAAAAAACGAAAAGGGAATACTTCCCCCCCTCTTCGGTTTCTATACTATTTTCTGTCCTCTATTTCTTCTCCTTTGGTCCATTTCCAAGCCCACAAAAGATATAACCAAACTCTCCTATAGGAGTGAGTAATATTCTATTTGATTTTTTAAAATTATATTTTGACTAGATTTAGTATTAAAAAATTATTTTGATTTGACTCGTAATTTTGTAAAATCCACTCGTAATTAGTATATCGTATATGAAAAAAATATTTATGTGTATATTATATAGTTATAAAAAACAATTTAAATTATAATCATGTAGTACCATAACATTATCAATATTTATAAAAAAAAATTAAATAAATTGATTCGACTCAAATTTCATAAACTTGATTAGACTTAAAAAAGTCAAAATATAATTTGAGTTTAAAATAAGAATCATCGACTCGAATAACTTAGATTTTTTTAACTCGACTCGACCAAATACTCTTAAGGTAAAACTCTTGCTGGGATTTGTTTATTTTTCTGGGGTTTCGTTTACTTACATTTGTAATAGCGCAACTTAAAAGCTTTGGCCTTTTGTGTTTTGTTCAATTGCAGTTTCTTAAAAAGGTAATAAAGTTTTCTTTTAGTTTGGTTATTTGGATTTTAGTTAGGTTTACAGGAAGGAGGTTCTTCGAAGAGGGACAAAGGAAGATGTTTGTGAGCAACACCAATGTCAAACAAAATGAGACCGGATTTCGGGTCATTGGCGATGATATCTTTAACAGGCAACCAAAGGAAGAGTTCTTCTTGGGTTAACCCAACAACACCAATAAGGCTGCCATAGGTGAGGTTAGCACTCTCAACACCATCGAAAAACACCATGTTCTCGTACCTGGTTAAGCACGGTCTATCCAAGAAAACTTTAAGAGTTTTGTTATCCCAAAGCGTATACGATTCACTTCCTTCGGGAATAGACCTGCCGGCAAGCCTCTTGAAACGAGAAGACGGTGGATTGATATACAAGAATAATAGAAAGGGGAAAGGAAGAGAGAACATATAATGAAAAATATTGTAGGTTGCCATGGATGCCATTTCGAATGCATAAAATGATGAAAAAGAAAAGAGCAAAAATATATTGGAAACAAAAGAAGAAAAAGTTTCAGAGGAAAATGGGGTTGGAGGGGGGGAAATAATGTGAAATTACTTTTAAAAAATTGTTAGAAAATTTTAGAAGGTCTGTTTTGCTTTGTTAGTGAATGGGGTCTATTTGTAAAAAAAAGGAGGTGAGGGTTGATTAGGGTTTAATTGATTTTCTTATAATTTATCATATAATTAATGAACATTAATGATATGTTCTTAGTTTTTTTGGTTAGTTTACTTGTTATTTCAATATATTTCAATATTTAAATTTGGTATTTAATTTTTTATTCAATTAAATATTCTAATTTGACTTCTGAATTCAATTTAGGAATTAATTATTTTTTATCTAATTAGATAACAAACTTTATTTATCAGTTCATATTAATAAATGAACTTCATCTTATTATTTAAAATGATACTTATGACTTTTAACTAATTTAAACTAAAAAAAAAGTTTTGGTATGAATTTTAACAAAAGAAAACCAAAATTCATATACCTAATTGAATAAAAAAACTTAAATACTAAATTGAACTTTAAAATCAAATTTATGATTCAAAATGTATATTAACCTTTTTAGACAATATATATATATATAATAAGGAAAGGTGTTTTAAGGAATTGCCTTCGTGAGTTTGCTGAGTTGTTAATGCAGTTTTCATGTATGCCTTATATTGTATCGACATCAAAATGGTATACTCTTTTTCTTCCACTTAGGTTTAAGCTGTTTTTATAATGAGGTCTATCTCATTGTTCTTGTTTGGTATGCGTGTCATCAATAAAATCATACAAAACTTTCTTTAAAAAAAAGGTCGTTTTAAGGAAATTAGTACATAATTAAATAAATTCAATATAAAATTGATTAAACTTATAAGTTGAATGTTTTGATGTGTTGAATTTGGTTTTCTTGTGTCATGTGTATGAACTCTAAGTTGTTGTTCTTACATTTGTTTTTAATTAAAACAATAATTCCTAACATTAGATCCAAGATAATTTTGTCCAACATTTCTTATATATAATTATCAGATCTTAGAAAATAAAAATAAATTTACCATAAATTAAATGTTTCATACTATATTGGAAATTCCTTTTCATTTCTCACAAGCAAAACTCAAATAATTGGATGCCCTACCAAATTGTTGTAAGGGACAAGAGATCATTCTTTAATGTTTAGATTTTGATGATGCTCTACGGCAAGCAAAATTATTATTCTTTATAAACAAACCCTAATCACAATAATGATCTTAAACGAAGGTTAATTAACCCATATTAGAAGGTGAATTTATTTGAATTAACCAACTCGATCTTTAAGCTTGGTTAACATAGACAAGTCCATCGTGGACTAACATTTTCATGCACTAATTCGGTAATTGCAGATGCACTGAAATACTATAACAAACAATTATATCTAAATAAAATAGGTAATGGAACAGCAGGTTTGCCCGAGTGGTTAAGGGGGAAGACTTAAGATCTTCTGTGCTCAAGCACGCGTGGGTTCAAACCCCACAGCCTGCAATGTTCTTATATGTTTATATACCATATTAGACTTTAAGACCAACCGTGATGACAACTCTAATCATGATCAGAGAATTGACTTATGCTTCAGACTCTCAGAGGACATACTTACATATTGCTTATTCCGAACCCAGCTGCGAGAACATTTTTTTCAATGCGACACTGTCTTATGATCTAATATCTGTATACTAAATTTCATATATATTTGACTCCAAAGTTTCGATATCTATGTTCAACACATATTCAGACATGATTATTCGGATCCATAAAACATAGTATGTACATGTTCAAGACTTTTGAAATCTTAAGACGTGGTATGAAAATGGGCTTTTAACTGAACCAAAGTAGATTCTGGTTTCTGTTTTATGACCCAAGTAGAGGGCCAATAACCCAAACACAAGTGCTTTCAAAATCTGGACTCGCCATGAATTATTACAATCTGTTGGAATATCTTACACATCACTTTTGAAAGTAACAGGTTTGAAAATCAACAACTTTCCCAACCACTCTTGCTCCATTTTATTCTTCTTTAAAATGCTTTTTTTTTTACAATGGCAGTTAGTCGATGCATGATGCAAGCTTGCTGGCAGTGTCAAAATCGTCTTGTTTTTTTTTTACAAGAGTGGTTAGTAGGAAGAAATACCAGATAAGAAGATAATAATATTTATAAGTTTGGTTTAGTTGACTAATGATTATTATAAACCAGTGTTCATTTGTTGAAACACAACACTATGAAGATTCGAAAACCAGACAGGAGTGCTTGTTTAATCAGTCGAATTTAGCTGTGTTAGATGGTAGGAAGACATGTCCAAAGTCAGAACCCAGGAAGAACAGTCTGGTGTTTGTCTAATTCTCAGACATTCGCCTTGGAAACTGCAAATATCTATGTACAAAAGAGAAAAAGAACATTATCCATTCCTCGTGTAGAACTTGGTTGAATGTTAACTGATCCACCATTGATTATTGCAATTTTTTAATCTATCTGTTGAATAAACAATGTTTCAATCAGCAATTTAATGATGCAAATTCCAGTGTTTTTTTTTTCTTCAAGCTTTGTTTTTGCGTGAATAATGTGACTCCGATATACCTACAAAATGGTGGTCCAATTCGGATTAGAGAACATCAAGAGTATTTTACGGCTTTAGCATGAATAATGTAGCTCAGTGACCTCAGATGAGTATAGTTTATTTATATAATGTTGTCCCAACTGTCAGTTTCATGACCTATTTTTCTTCTAATTCAACCTCACAAATCAACATCAAAACAAATATTTTATTTTGAATAATTTATCATGTTAATTGTCAGATTAAACAATGGTAGACAGAAGCCTCTCACCAGAAAAAAGGAAGAAAAATAATAATAATAATTAGGATAACTGTTATCATTACTGAGAAACTGCAGCATTGTCTCTCCTGGATTGGAAACATCAGATAATTAATAATATATTTCAAAGTCTTTGTTTCAACTTTGTGTAGAATATTTATCTTAATTCAACAACCAAACCTAATATATACATATAAAATTTTCCAAAATAATTGGTGCTGATTTCATCTTTCATCACCCTGCAATTATATGAATCAAATATATATATATATTTTGGTTTCTGGTGTGAGGTTGAAATCTCTTACTATTTTATATCCAAGTTACTGACATATGTTTTATATTTATGTATGTATATATGGTGATGAATCGAGTTCGAAGATGAAACTAACAGGTGAAACGGATTTGGATATTCTTGAATTATATATATAACATTATCAACAGGAGAGAGAGAGAGAGAGAGAGAGAGAGAGAGAGCAAACACATCACCAAGACAATTATCAAGAAATGGTGGACAAATATTGTTGCAGTCAACATAAGTGTGTGATGAGGGATGGGAGATATCCCTCACGTGTGGGTGGGGCAGTTTCAAAGTCCATGGATCAATGGGGACACACGTGTTGTTGTCTGATGACATATCCACCAAATACGCCACGTGTATGATGACATCAAAATAGGTGCCTCCACAATCTCCCGACATGGCCATTACATGCCCATACTTTACATTTCACGTGAATTTTGGCCCAACTTACCCCCTTTCTATTTATTTCTTTGTTTCTACTTGGATGATTTGTTCCATAATTTTTGTCTACATGATGCCCATTTCTTTTTTTTTTTCTTTTGATATATATATCAACTTTTAACGATGCCAATTACAGCTGCATGGACATTTTTCCCCGCAACTTCTCGCGAGTGATAAATGAATATATTTAATGATAAAATTCATTTTTTTTCTTCTACTTGATTTTAAATTACTTATTGAAATTGTCTAGAATAAATTTGTAGATAACGAGTGGATTCTATTATAGTAGCAACAATTGTATTTTTCAAATCAATCATTTTCACCATTTCCATGCATCCATTCATAGCATGCATGCATCTATTTTCCGACAATAATTTGGACAAGAAATCGACTTTACAATTTGGCATGATTATTCTTTTCTTCACCAATTAATTTTTCCACACCTTTTATCAAATCAAATTTGAATTTTTAAGAAATAATTTCTAAATTTGTATTCATTTTACGTCATCTAATCATAATTATAAAACGATATCCTTAGGGTTGTAATCGAATATAATATACTTATTGAAAAATTTACTTTATATATTGACGTGAAGGATGAATTTATGATTCTTTTTAGCTGTAATTTATAAGTGTTACAATTGAGGGAATGGCTTTGCGTATGAATATCTCAAATAACCGAGGGAGTTCGTCTCCAAATTAGCATCTTCAATTCAAAAGAATCACTCAACCCTAATATTATAACCAACAAGCAAAATAGAACACTAGTGTTTTGATTAGAGAAATCATTGAGTTTAGATATGTAGCATATTTCATTAATATCATTTTGAATGCTTTTCGTGTGATAATTACGTGTTTCTTTAGGTTTTATATTTTTTTGTGAAAATATTAATTATTGTCTATGTATATGATATTCATTTAAAGAAGTACACTTAATTTATTGTTTGTTTAATTCGATACCAATGGTATATTAAATATAGAAAAATTAACTGATATGAAACATGTAAACTTAATTTTAAAAAATATATATTTATTTTAATGACATGTGTCATATCTAAATTTTAGATATTAAGCCGTATCTCAGATTTTCATCCATCTTTTAGCATTTGCTCCATTCACCGCTACGTTAACGAGGTTCCTCATCCTGTGGCTCAGTTTGCATCCACCACTTTTGTAACACCCCAACCCGTACCCGACCCGAATACAAGTCTGAGGTGTCACATTGACTTTTCAAACATTGACACTTAAAGAAAAACCCCGGGGAATTTAAACATTGTTTAAAACAAAATACTTTAATTTACATAAAAGAGACCACAAAATACAAACTTGATCAGAGTACTCATAATTAACGACTTATTACATGCCAACACTCTATAC